TGCTGATGGAAATAGCATCAGTACTTAAAATTGAAAAAACTCACCTACACGCGTGGACTGATTCAATGGTAGTCCTTGCATGGTTGAACAGTACGCCTAATCGTTGGAAGGTTTTCGTGGCTAACAGGGTGTCAGAGATCATCACTAGTCTAGACTCACACCACTGGTCACACGTTACATCTAAAAGTAATCCAGCTGATATTGCTTCAAGGGGCTTGCATCCACTAGAACTGGTGGAGAATGAAATGTGGCTTCAAGGTCCGGAATTTCTGAAAAAGGAAAACATAAATTACACAAAAGTCAAAGACAATATTACTGATATAGAAATGGTTAAAGTTAAAACATGCTGTACAATAGTAGAAACAATAGAGGAAAGATTTTCGTCACTGACTAGATTAATAAGAGTTTTAGCATATTGTAAGCGATTCATTCACAATTCTAAAGACAAAGGCATAAAGCATGTTGGATATTTGACATCCAAGGAGTTGCGAGAAACAAAAAAATATTTAATAATAAAATGTCAATATTTAAGTTTTAGTACGGAAATAGACTGCTTGAATAAAAAAGAAAACTTACCAAAGCGTAGTATTCTCCGATCATTGAATCCATTTTTGGACGATGAAGGTCTATTAAGAGTCGGAGGTAGACTTGCAAAGTCACACTTAAATGAAGGTCGCAAGCACCCAATATTGATTCCTAAGAAGTCTGATTTGACGAATCTTCTCATACTGGATGCTCATAAGCAGACTCTTCATGGGGGGCCGCAACTTATGATGTCCTATTTGCAGTCTACTTACTGGATTTTAGGTATTAAGCAGCTTGTAAAATCTTGTTTTCGTAAATGCGTGACATGTGCCAAGAATACAGGCAATATACAGTCACAGCTGATGGGACAGTTACCATCTAGTAGAGTCGTACCTACACGACCCTTTAAATCTTGTGGCGTGGATTATGCAGGTCCCATACAATTGCGAACGACTAAGGGACGTGGTTATAAGTCATACAAAGGCTATATTTGCCTATTTGTATGCATGGTAACGCGCGCCATACATTTAGAGGTAGTATCTGACCTTACCACGGAGGCTTTCCTCCAGGCATTTAAACGATTTGTGGCAAGGAGAGGTTACTGCTCTGATGTTTGGAGTGATAATGCTACGAATTTTGTTGGCGCGGCTGCTGAATTAAAAAGGTTATTCGCCGAGGAAAAGAACTCCATGATAAGTGAAGCAGCCGAGGCTTTGGCAACTAACGGTTGTACCTGGCATTTCATACCCTCACGCTCTCCCAACTTTGGTGGTCTATGGGAAGCGGGAGTAAAGTCCGTCAAGTTCCACTTGAAACGGGTTATTGGCCAATCAACGTTGACGTTCGAGGAGATGACGACAGTATTGGCACAGATAGAGGCCTGCTTAAATTCTAGACCTCTATCCACACTTTCCTGTAACGAAAGCGATGATGTGAGAATTTTGACACCTGGACATTTTCTTGTTGGAGAAGCACTGGTCACACCACCTGACAGAATTACGAATCTGACAACATCAGTTCTTTACGTAGATGGCAATATACTCAGAAAATGCTGCAGGATTTTTGGCATCAATGGTCACGTCAATATTTGACAAGGTTTTACCAAAGACACAGATGGTCGTTTCAGAATCCTCAACTAAAGATTGACGATGTAGTTGTAGTAAAGGAAGATAACTTACCTGCTGGGCGTTGGCTTTATAGTAGAGTGATTGCAACTCATCCCGGAAATGATGATATAGTTAGGGTTGTCACATTAAAGGTAAAGGGTGGCACTCTAAAACGTCCTGTATCTAAAATTTGTCTTCTTCCCATAACTAGTTAATTTATATAGATATTTGTTGCTTTATACAAAAGTACAATACTGATTTATAAAAAAAAAATATGTTCTGTTAAAATTTAAAATTTGTTATTTTAAGTTATTGTAATTTTAAGTGTTTTGTTACCTTAAGTCATGGTGGGCGATAACAGTCATTATGTTAAGTTAAATATTTGTAAGGACAAATCTCAGTTTGTCCTTGGTGGGCGATTATGTATACGCCATTTGTACATGTAAAAAATGTAGTTCATATGTGTCAAAATAGATGGCGCTGTAGTTCTTTGCATCACGCTTGCAAATTTGTTTGGAGCTACATATAGGCAAAACGTCACCAAACTAATAAAGTAATCTATGGTCAAACAAAATCCACCTTAGTTTCATTTACTTCTTTTGCACCTAAGCTCTCGGATTTAAGAGTCATTTTGCTTGAAACAAGCTCATTATTTTTTTATGTTTTTAATATAACCATATTTAAGATTTTAAGTGTATCACACCTAATAATTTTATTTATTTATTAATTTATAGTCAGGCAACGTAGGCCCATAGATAGATACCTTAAAGTCTAACATATATACAGATTATAATTTGGTTATGGAGGTGCCTACCATCGCCTACCATCTATAATAATTGTCTGAGCACATTTGCATGTAGTGAAAATGATAATATAGTTGTGGATATTAATACCACATTGTAATAAAAAAATGATTTATTTTATCGATCTTTACAAAATAGATTTGTTTTTATGTTATATAAACAACTTCGATCAGTCTTTGGCTGAATGTTACTACACCCATAGCCATTAAAAATGATTCGTATGTTTAAAAACCGGTAAAATTAAAGTCCTTTTTAAAGTAAATATATTATATAAAGGTGTCCGTTGAAATGTAATGACTGTAAATTAAATTATAAATTACGCTAAGAATTACCGTGTATGTCAATATTTTTTGTGCATTTAGGCCAATTTGAGCAATCTCCTTTAAGTAATGAACCATTTTTTTTTCTAAAAAGAAAATGGTGCCGCGTGCGTTTGGGGAAAATTAGAACTACATCTTTCGAGTCATAGCTATAGACTAAAAGAACATGCTTGCTTGAAGCTGGTTCGATCAAATATAAAAAAACCTTAAAGAATACGCATGGTGCCATGGATGGGAGCGTGCGTAATAAATTTTACCGCACGCTCCGCTGTATGACCCGTATTTTGAATTTCCGAACAATGTTTACAACCTTCGTAAATGCATTTTTAGAGCAAATGTGTACAAAAATTATTTAATGTCAGTACAATAGACATACGTACATTCCGTGTAAACAAAGTATATATTAATAGTTGAACGCTGACTCTTAACACTGCCGACGAGGACTCGCTCGGATCTATTGTACGTTTCTTTAACTATTAAATAACCGACAGTATAGCTTCTTCGCCGGCGGTGGGACAAGTGCCTTAATTAAGGACTCATAATATTTTTTCGCAGTTGGAGAATATTTCAAAGGAAATACTGCAATTGAATCATCGATCTTTATTGGCAGCTGCCTATATCGTATACTTGCCTGGCCTCACTGAACCACAAGCTAGGTAATAAAAACATTTTTTTCAAATGATTTTATTGAATATAAAGTTTTTATAACTACTAAAATTATTGAATTTTCAGAGAATATTTGAAGAAATGGAGTGCACTTATTGGATTTGAAGACCTCACTTTTTCAGTGCCAAACTTCCTTGCTAGTACTGAAAAACAGTTAAAGTGGCACGCGGAAGGACTACCTTCCGACACTACTGCTATCAAAAACGCTGTCCTTATCGACCAGGTAAAATCGTCAATTATCATGTCTGTCCTTTTCACTCCTTATAAAGAGTGATAAGGACAGACTGTTGTCAAATTTACTAACAGCAAATACGAATAGCCAAGTAAAGTGTCGGTATTAAATGAAAATTAACAGGATTAAATGCAACAATAAAGGATATTTCAAATTATGTAGCGGCAAAATGAAATTAAAGAGATCCATTTACCATTGTGTCTGCACAGTTTAGGATATACAGTACGCCGAGTTGTGTGCCGGGTTTCAAGGTGTCGCCTACTCGAGAGGTCCCGGGTTCGAATCCCGGTGGGGGCAAATGTTAAGTGTGTTGAATACGAGCGTTTGAACTCCACTCATGGATGGTTAATATGTGATTCTAAATAAATATACTCATATATGTATCAGTATATTGTAGTCTATCCGTTACCCTAGTATCCCATAACACAAGCCTACAGTGTTTACTTTGGGGCTAGGCTAATTGGTGTGAATGTTGGAAATATTTATTTAGTATTGAAAAACGTAAATTATTGGCATTGTTTAACTTATTGGTAAATTATGATCAGAAAGAGGTAGAAACAACACACATCAAGATTGGAGTGAACTAATGAAGGCTTCGGCGCGTAACCGGAGCAACAGTCGTCACACATTTTTTTTTGTTTTCTGTGCAATTTACTACCTTTCAAACATAATGGGTGTTAGGAAAAAATATTGGACGATTTAAAAGAAATTTCCAAAAGTAAATTTGAATAAAGTATAATTTCATTTCATTTCAATGTTGTGAACACTATATCGCGACTTATTCACGACTATGAAATTACAGGCTCTACAATCTGAAAAATGTGGTTTCACTCCCCTTGTGATTGACCCCGATGGTGATACCACGACGTGGCTGAGAGCTACCCTGACAGACACACAATGCGATTTTGTCTCTCAACATAGTGAAAAACTACTCACTGCAATTCAGTTTGCTGTGAGGTAAGTAAAAAAAGGCTATGTTAACTCTTTAATGGAAGAATATGATTTTGCTATTGCCATTTTTCTTCCCACAATATTGATAACTTCCTATCAAAACTATCATAAACGATATTGTCAACGATTTCTAATGATTAACGACTGATTTTAAAATTCTTATCCAAATCCAGTCAAAAAAGCTTATTTTTGAATTTCAAATTTTAAAAATTAATTTGAGTATGTTTTAGTCAATTGACCAGATCCAAATCCATTGTATAGATAAATCATAAAGCTAAACTGCCGAAATAAGGAACTCGTAATCTTACAAATAAACATGGCAAATATTACAAATGCATTTTTACCGAATCAATACTTTAAATATACTGTAATCAGATTAACTTTCTTCGTCTTTCAGATTAAACCGAACACTAGTCATCACTGATGTAGATGGCGTGCATTCTAGTTGGGCGGGGCTACTGGACTCGAGAGCGAGACTAGTATTAATGGCGCGATCGATGCCGCGCGTTCCGACCGCGTGTGAGGCGAGACTGTCGCCGCTACACTGCGCCGCCAGACGGGACGCGCTCACAGGTAAATGTCTCACATTGTACCGCACGCTGGTCATTATAATGATGCCGCGCGTTCCGACCGCGTGTGAGGCGAGACTGTCGCCGCTACACTGCGCCGCCAGACGGGACGCGCTCACCGATAAATGTCTCACATTATACCGCACCATGATAATGAGTGAAGTCGTCTGACTACTTCCTGCGCTAAAATTAGCGAACAAATTTTCGCCGCTAAAGACGTAATTACTATTTTTCATCTGCACACACAAATTTATCGTTCTCCAAAACCCCGTTGATGTGTGTCGTAAACCGCCAGTCAAGTTATCGTCTAGCGTCCACACAGCTCTACGTCGTTGCGATAGCCGCTAATGACTTTCCACACCTGCGTTTATCGCGAGCACAGACGAAGCTTTTTGGCAATAGGCGCAAGTGTGGGAGAAGCATGACTATTCGATTAGATATATTCGAGTCATGTGGGAATTACTGTAGTACGTGAACGAGCACGAGTCGCAAATAAATACCGTAATTATATCTAGAGGTAGGGGAGGCAAATCTGAACTGTACGGTAATTCCGCTCAGCAGTGGCGGCGCTAGGCGTCGGCGACGTCGGCCACCGCCGTGGGCCTCGCGCCTGAGGGGGCCTCGCAAAAAATTTTTACTAGTTACCTATTTATTTTCGTTTCTCCTGGCCTGGCTTAGGTAGCCGACCCCGAACAATTCGGGGAAAAAGCTAAGCAGATGATAATGACTTTTATTATTTTCGAACACGTGCGTGATGGAAGCGAGTAGTACTTTACGGGTATTCAGAATCGTCTGTCTGGCAACACTATTTTTGTAATTAAATTTCTATGTTTGTAATTACTTTTTGTCATCATTTGATTATCAACAATAAAACTTGTTTACTCATACGTTATTTTATAATTTGGCTCACTTAATTTAACGGTTTTTTACTGCGAAGTAAAATAGGCCTCGCGAACTTGATGTCTCCGACGTCCACATGTGGTCTAGCCCCGTCACTGCCGCTCAGATCAGTCCAATATAAATCTGTTTGCTCGGAGTATTTTAACAGACGAGAAAGATTAATTCAATTATCTGTCATGTTGTGAGGTTAGAAGTTAGAATTTATTTATTTGCATTAGAATAGAGTTACACTGAAGATGTTACAAATATAAAGTTAATCTGTTAAGTTTATCTGCGATTGGACGGGTCGTTCGTTAATAGCAATTTCCTCAGATTAATCCCTGATCATATGACCAAAAATCAGTCGACTCTGCGATGCAAATACCGAACTTAGCTAGTGTGTGATCTTAATTAATTAATATTTTTTTGTCTAGTCTCATTCCTTTCTTATTCATTTTTGTTTCATTTTAGCTCAACTCGTTCATTATGCTTTGCAACAACTTAATCCCGAAGTGAACGAGAAATCTAAAGAGATCAAACTCAAGAAAGCCACTTTACAGAAACAACAGCACGAATTACAGGTAACTATCCACTCTTACTCGCTTCACAAGTAAACTTGACAACCTAATACTTTTTTTTTTCTTTTTTATTTATTAAATTTTTTCATCAAAACTGTGCAACTGTTTGTCGGCAGTAGCTCTCGTGGACATTACATAATTATTTTTGTACTTATTCACTGTATTTATAAATAGGTACTTTATATATAAAACTGAAAATATTTAAATGATCCCAAAAAAACCGTTAATGGTCACCAAACAAACACAGTCGGTAACCTAAAGTTTAGGTTAACTTTAGCAACATAAGCAACCTCAAACCTCTGAGGATCAACCACAATTCGAAAACAAAATTAGGTACTACTCGTATATTTAATAAAATTTATATCTTTCTTACTCAATCGTACAAAAACGGCTGAACAGATCTGCTTGTTGAAATTGCATGCATATGGCATGACTATGTATTGCCTGTTATATTTACATACATTATACACGTGTACCTACTGTGTATGTATATATATAATTTACATTTTATACACACACACAAAATATACAACAATATACAAACGCACGCGCATGCCTAATTATATCTACATACAAACAGCCATATATATACCTAGTCAGGTCATAAATTCTGTCACATGTTTAATATAAAATAATTGAAACAAGTTTATTCATTATGTCACCATTTATATACCAAAATGAACTTAACAAAACATAGATTCTTATGACAATAAAGTTTATTCAAAATGACCTCCGTGATTTTGAATACAGGCCTTCAATCTGCGCGGCCAGTCGTCTATCGCAGCACGAACGAGATCCATGTCAATATCGGCGGATGCCTTAATCAAGGATGTCTTGAGTGGCTCCAAATTGGGATGAGGCTTTGAGCACGCCTTTTCCTCCAAGTGTTGCCATATCTTGTAATCTAACGGACTCAAATCTGGACTGGAGGGGGGCCAGTCTTCGTGCCGGATGAAGTCGATTTCACGCGCCGCCAGCCAGTCTTGTGTGCTCTTCGCTCTATGAGCTGGCGCCGAATCTTGTTGGAATATCCAGTGCCTGTTATTGAACATGGTATGAGAAACAAGTTCCACAATGTTCGTCAGGACTGTATTTTGATACACAACTGCATTCGTTTTTACACCTTTCTCACAAAAATGTACCTCTGTTAAGCCCCAATAAGAAACCCCAATACCATGAGCGAGGATGGAAAATGACCTCGTTGGACACGCGGAATACGGTTGCTCGCTTCTTCAGTACTGTGTGCGTACACCTTATCGTTTTGTTTGTTGTAGCTCTCTTCTACGGTAAAAATTTTTTCATCCGAAAAAAGAATTTCCCGATATTTTTTTCCCGCGTACCGCTTCAACAAAGCGCGGCATCTCTTCAGTCTCAGGTCCATTAAACGAGCATTCAAACGATGTCTTGTTTTTCTTCGATATGCCCGAAGCCCTAAGTCTTCATTTAACACCCTTTTCACCGTGGTTCTGCTTAACCCCATCTGAAGGGCCAACAGTTTCTGCTTACGTTTGGGATTTCATTGAATTCGCGCCTTCACAGCTTTTATCACTGCTGGAGTCCTAACAGACCGAGGGCGACCACTTCTTGACCTGTCATCTACACTAGAGTCTTCATTGTATCGTTTGATGGTACGATAAACGAATTTTTTGGTTATATTCAAAATTTTCAGTATGTCAAAAATTTGAATTGGCGCGTAACCGCAACGATGCAACGCAATAACTGCAACACGGTCTTCTTTAAGCGTCCACTAGATATTTAAAAATGAGTAAAATTCTAAAAAGTATACATTTTTATTTTCATGAACAATTCGAAATTCGAATTCAATAAACATTTTTGTGGCCATCATTCTAAAAGAAAAGTTTTTACTGTGTGACAATACTTATGACCTGACTGTGTATATTATGTTTTTATTTTTCAACCATTGAACTGCTAATCTAAAGAAAAGTTTACTAGAAAAAAATTCTAGACGGCCGTCCGGGCCGCGGTAGCAGTCTAGTGTATTCGCCCGGATAGCGAAGGATGCGGGTTCGAGTCCCGTCTGCTGCCTGGTCCGCGTGGATTTTTTTTCTAGTAAACTTTTCTTTACATTTAAACCTAATACATTCTAAACATCTTTACTTGACAGGAAAATCTGCTTAGCGTTTTATCAACTAACAGTGATATACTCCACGACGCGAATCTGTTAGCATCTCTTAACAAGACTAGAGAAACCAGTGCCACTATATCTGAAGCGCTTGAAGCAGCACATGCTATTGAACGAGAAACCCACGCGGCTTCGGAAGCCTATCAGCCTAGCGCTGAGCGTACAGCGCTTTTAGCGCTGACGGTTAAAAGTATGGCAACCCATCGGCCCTTGATAGCTTTGCCCATAGACGTGGTGCTGGATATCTACGTTGACGCCTTACGCAATTCAGTGAGTAAAGACACCCTGGCAAACATCTTGAGCATCGACCATAGACAATGAAATATTGTTTTTAACTTTCATGGTGACTAACATTATAGTATAACATAGACAAGGAAGCCTGCGCAGTAGCAATTTTACATATAAAAACGTCAACCGTGCAAGTATATCTGTGGTTTTGCTCAACAAGTTTGCCGCTACCTATGAAGTATATTTATTACAAAAAGCATGTTCGGTCTGCGGTCATGGAAGTTAAGCAACTGGCTGGCTGTTTACAGGATGGGTGAAAAAAATATTATCTCGAGTACCTCCGTGCTTCGGAAAGCACGTTAAGTCTTTGGTCTCCCTATTCTATCGATATTGAAGGCCTGTGCTCCAGCAACACTAAGCCACTAGTGTCTTAGTGGCTGCCACTCGATTTCTCTCGATTCGATTGGTGTCTGCGTCTAGTGGCTTGACTGAGCCACTAGTGGCAGTGATTAGTGGCTCAATGAGCGCTCGCTCTATAAGGCTGATGAAACCGTAACTTAATAAAAGATATTGCTAATTTCAGAATACGAAAAATATAAATAATGATGAATTGATCAAATATATAACGAGGAGAGTTATCGAAAGAGTTCTGCTGTCATTGCATAAGAAAGATAAATATAAAGTTATCTTACACATTTTGAAGCAAGTATACGATGATATAATACCGGACAAGGTAAAGAAAGCTTTTAAATAAAATATTTAAAACAAACTACATAAGCGTAGCATTATTTTTTAAATTTATATTTTTCAGCTATGGCAAATATTCCTTGGCAATTACATAGCCAAGGATGATCAAAGAATTTTTGCGGAAGTCAAGAATACTTTCAAATGGATTACTGATGAAGAAGTGAAAAAAGTAGCTCAAATAAAGGTACTTTATGTACATTTTATTTAATAAAATCTAACGCAAAGGGTAGGTAATGACTGGACTGGACCCTAAACTAAAATATACATCGCATCAACTGTTCCAAGTTGATAGTGAAAAAGAAAAGAAAAGGTTTTGTGTTATATTTCTACGCCCACCAATCTTTAAATAAAACGAATATAAAGTCTCGTAAATAGGTTCCAAAACGACAAAACAACGTGGAATATGTTCGTTTATAGTGTTTAGAAAGTCATTCGATATCTAAAGATTTTTGTGTATAATTTTGTTTTCTAATTGTGAAGGTTTAGAAATTTAAAGTTAAGGCAACTTAGATGCTCTGTCACCACACTAAGACGCTGTGCCCACCTAAGCAACGACAGAAACGTGATTGTCCACCGGCATGTAGCATGACTCTGGCATGACATTTTATGATCCCACCAGGGTGAAATGGCAGCGACTTTTCAGACAATGTCGTCATCTGATGAAGATCCAGATGCTCGTGCTTATACAATTTTTAAATATTCAAAATTGGATACGTCCTATGTGGGAAAAATGGTAAAAACTGGTGGCACCATACCTTTGAATAAAGGAATTATATACAAACACACAGTTCCATAAATTTTGTATTAAATTCTAAATAGTCCTTCTTTGTAACTGACATAATCGTTGCAAGTTTTGTGTTGCGCGTCATTTCATTGTGGCACTAGTAGCTCGTTGAGTGGCACGTCAGGTCGTGCCACGCTACGCCACGCCAAATGGGGCCGCTAGCCAATGCCCAATTCATTTACTTTGAATATTGATGCTCGTGGCATACATGCCAGATTACGTGTCACGTTGCTTAGGTAGGCACAGACAGCTCCTAAACGTGAGTTGCACCAACTTACTTTAACTAAGTACCTAATTTGAAAATGAGGACATAATTTTGACTATCCGTTATTTTTTTATATCATTATCCTTTTATTTTAGGTGATAAACGAAGATTTTTTCAATAAGTTGTCTCTGCAAAACGCTGATGTGTGGAAAGAGTTCTTAGAATCGGGAGATTTAAAAGCTCTAGCTCCGCTCTCTTTAACTCATTTTGAGTTGGTTTTAGCAGTTTCAATCTTGCGACCAGATTCCACTTACAGAGCAATCACCGGCTTAGTGGACTATATATTAGGTATGTATATTTTAAATATAAATTAAATATAGTCACTGCGCAGAAAATATATGTAGAGATTCATAAAAACTTCATTTTAGAATTCTCTTCAACAGGTAGACGCTTGAATTATTCACAGAATTATTAGTTGAATATTCACTAGAAAATATATAATGAAATAATAATTGAAATAAAAATAAATATTTGTACCATACAACAGACGAGATATTTTACCGTTTTTGACGTTATCACGTAAAATTATCGTCCGTAAACAGGTTTTACAGACAACCATTCTTTTTGCTCGATATTATAATAGAGTGTCTAATGTAGTTGCAATAATGGGTACGCGCGAGTCCCAACTTGCACTTGACCGGTTTTTGGATGTGGTTTTCTAATATCAGGGTCGGACGTTATGAGTGTGGGGGCCACAGTGGGTCTGGCGGCGCGGTGGAGTGGGGGGCGGCCCGCACTGTTACTGGCCGCGCATGCGCTCGACGTGCTCGCACATCACGCGCGCTCTCTCACGCTGGTGAGTGACCACGCCATCTATGTTTATGGTCGGCTGTGTGTGAGTCACAGTGGGTCTGGCGGCGCGGTGGAGTGGGGGGCGGCCCGCACTATTACTGGCCGTGCTGTGCTCGCACATCACTCGCGCTCTCTCACGCTGGTGAGTGACCGCGCCATCTATGTTTATGGTCAGCTGTGTGTGGGTCACAGTGGGTCTGGCGGCGTGGTGGAGTGGGGGGCGGCCCGCACTGTTACTGGCCGTGCATGCGCTCGACGTGCTCGCACATCACGCGCGCTCTCTCACGCTGATGAGTGACCGCGCCATCTATGTTTATGGTCGGCTGTGTGTGGGTCACAGTGGGTCTGGCGGCGCGGTGGAGTGGGGGGCGGCCCGCACTGTTACTGGCCGTGCATGCGCTCGACGTGCTCGCACATCACGCGCGCTCTCTCACGCTGGTGAGTAACCGCGCCATCTATGTTTATGGTCGGCTGTGTGTGGGTCGCAGTGGGTCAGGCGGCGCGGTGGAGTGGGGGGCGGCCCGCACTGTTACTGGCCGCGCATGCGCTCCACGTGCTTGCACATCACGCGCGCTCTCTCACGCTGGTATGTAACAACGTCTTCTAAGTACAAATAGGTCGTAGCCGAGTGGTTAAGGCGTCTTACTCAAAATCAGATTCACTTTGGGAGCGTAGGTTCGTATCTTACCGGCTACGGGGGCTTTTCTCACACCTAAATTGCCACATATTATTTTCTAATTTTCCCCCATACTAGCATAAATTGCGGCCTGCTCGCAGGCGCTAGCTGGGCCTCCCTGCATGGAATCTCACCCGGCTTGGCTTATTAAATTTTAAAATCTAGATATTTATTTAAGTATAAGTGTGTTTACCAGAAGGGATGTGCTTGATAGCCAAAGTGGTAAGCTCGTTCGGTTGCGACCGTTAAAGTTAAGCAACTTCCGCAGTGGTTGGTCATTAGAGGGGTGACCAAAATTTTTTTAGCAAGGCTCGCTAAGCCGTTGGTCCCGGCTGCATCTGCAGTCGTTAGCACCCACCAATCCGCACTAGGCTCGCGAGGTGGGTCATGGCATACTCTCCTAGGCCTATAGGAAAGGCCTGTGCCCCAGCAATGGGGCCACTAATTGGCGGATGATAGAAATAATAAATAAATATTTCCTACTCAGGTGGGTGTAGAGGAAGGCAGGGCAGCGTGGGAGCGCGCGATAGTAGCCGCCCGCAGCGGCGGGTGGGTGGCGCTCGTGGTAGGCGCATCTCCCATCACGCAAGACTTGACAAATTTCATCGTCGACTACGTCCAACGACCGGTACGAGATTTTCATATTAAACTTAAAATTCCGTTAATAAATCTGATATATAAAATTCTCGTGTCACTATGTGCGTAATTGAACTCCACCGAAACAACTCGACCTATTTTATATGCACATAGTAGGTCTGAGAATCCGACATCTATTTTTCATCCCCCTAAATGTTAAGGGTGGTCCACCATAATTTTTTTTTGGACAAAATTTTTGTATTTATTTTTTGAAGTTATACTTCTTTAGGCGCGTTATGAAAAAATCATGTGAGTGAAATTTCGAGATGCGCGCGCATCACTGTAACACATAGTAACACCATGAAGTTGGCCGCGGGCGCGTTATGAAAAAATCATGTGAGTGAAATTTCGAGATGCGCGCGCATCACTGTAACACATAGTAACACCATGAAGTTGGCCGCGGGCGCGTTATGAATGTTAGTGTCTAATAATGGTGGATTATTAACCACTTAGTGGTTAATAATCCACCATTATTAGATATCTGTTCGAAAGGTATTTTGAACGATCCACGGAGCTCCATAAGATGATCGCGTTGTCAAAAACAATGTTGGCACGCTCGTCGCCTCTGATCACTGTTTTCATACTTATAATATTTATCCACATGTTTCTAGTTTCTATATAGACACAACGTGTTTTAGTTACTTACAAGTGCTAATTACATATGGACTAATAACTTAAATTCAGTAGTGATTTTAATTGAATATTTTGAATATTTATTTAATTTTTCAAATTAAAACTGAACTTAATTGACTGTGTTAACTATCCTTTTCCAGTCCTTTTATTATTTTATTGTAATTATTAATTATTTGCATGCAATTAAAAAATATTTTTAATGATGCTAAAGAAGTATAACTTCTCACGCGCGTACATAAGTTACACGCATCTATTTTTTTATAATACATCATACAAAAATACATACAACCCTAAATTTTCACCCTTCTACCACCACCCATAGTCTATGGCGATACGAAGTTCGCTGGCTCAGATAGTATGCTATAATAATTATATTTCAGTAAAATAATATGACATCCTTAACATTAGAAGTATTCATTTTGAGATCAAGAGCGTGAAGTTTTTATATCAAACTTATTATGACGTAAAATAATAACTTTATTTTGTGGTGAAAGTATTAAACTTTTAACTCGTTTCATTTATATATATATATACAGATAGCTTATCATTTTTTGCAGACTGAGGATTATAATGAAGAATTTCGCTTATGGATAGTGTCAGAAGATCGGGATATACCACCCGCCGTTGCTAACGTTTGCGTCAATGTTATACTTGAGGTAATCATCATCATTCCTCTAGTGCTAATTATGACTATTTAGTCAACATTTTTAATGACCTTAGTAACTGGTAAATTTAAAACACCAAATAGCTTAGACTCATCTATAGTAAGCATTATAAGGTTGTATTATGGGATGCTAGGGTATAATATAAATCTATATATATAAAACTCAAAATTGACTGACTGACATGGTGATCTATCAACGCACAGCCCAAACCACTGGACGGATCGGGCTGAAATTTGGCATGCAGGTAGATGTTATGACGTAGGCATCCGCTAACAAAGGATTTTCATCAATTCTACCCCCAAGGGGATAATATACCGAAGCGAAGCGAGGGCGGGCCACTAGTAATAAATAAAGTATACTTTATCTAGAAATATATATACATCCATTACTAAGATACAAATGCTCGTATTCATCATACTAATAATTGCCCCCACCGAGATTCGAACCTGGGACCTCTGATTAGGCGACACCTTACAAACCGGCGTGCATACCACTCGAGCTACATAACTTATCCTTATGCCAGGCTCCTGAAGGTGTCAAGCATAACGTGGCGAGCACGTTATCTGCGTGGGGCGAGTTCGAGGCGGATGGCGCCGCGGTGCGGTCGCGCGTCTGTCTCGCTCTATTCCACGCCATCGTGCAAGAGCGACGCGCTTACATACCACAAGGTTTGTGTTTTTGATTCATCATCAGCCTATTAATGTCCCTACTGCAGCCGCACAGGCCTTACCTATGGATGGCATAATGAGACTGCCGTGACCCACTATGCAAGCCCAGTACGGATTAGCGGGTTCTAATGACTGCAGAAGCACGGAGGAACTCGAGATGATAAGTTTTAGGACACCCATCCAATGACCAACCATTGCGAAGTTGCTTAACTTTCACGATCATAGGTCGAATGCACTAACCATCTGCGCCATCGAGTTCCTTGTGCTTATGTTTACTATAATATCAGGCGTTAGATATATGATATCTTAGATATTATTACGTCTTTTAAAGCGGAAGAAGTAATTTCAGTTTGCTTGATAAAGAATGAATAAAATGTTTGAATTATGTAAACTTGTTTGATCTATGTAGTTGTGAAATCAATTACTATGAAATTAAGGTTGGAGTCGTTGGTACGCGTGGGAATGGGGCGAGGTGTCCGCGTGCGCGAGCGCACTGAGAGGTGGCGGCGGGCGCGAGCTCGTGCTGGCCATGTACAGTGCCCGCGCCGCCCCACCCGACCGCCGCCCGCTGGCTGCGCTGCACCGCGCCACACTCGGCGCGCACGCGCTCGCGCACTGCTGGCGCCCGCTCGGGCTCGCGCTGCCTCTACCCCCGCCCACAACCACCCGCGCGCAGGTATGTACTCACGCGCGAGCGCTCTGGGCTCGTGCTGGCCATGTACAGCGCCCGCGCCGCCCCGTCCGACCGCCGCTCGTTGGCTGCGCTGCACCGCGCCACACTCGAACGACACGCTGTACGGGTTGTGTGTACGTACAAGAAAAGAAAGTGGATTTTTACAGAGATACCGTTTATTATTGGCACACGAAACTTATTTGACTTATGAAATAGTTAGCTTTGTACTAACTTAGCGATCAGCCCCCCTGGGCAGCCTACACAGTTAGCTGCACGAGGCCGCCTCAGCCTTGTGATGGAAAAAAAACGATTTTACAAGAATGAGTAAAAATAAATTTGAAAATTTTTACTCTCTTAAAAACGCCAACCTAATTTTTTATTCCCTTTTTCTATAGGCATACTTGTCAGCGATTGACGCGTTTCCCGATATTGATCCACCGCAACTTCTGGGTCTTCCAGACAATTGTCGAATCGCATGGGAGAGAAACACTGCCAATGATATTATCATAGGATTGAAAGGTAAAGAGACTTACCTAATATTTACCTTACCTTATATGATCAAAGCAATTTTGCTTTTTATCACTGCAATGAACACATTAAATTATTATCAATAATTATTGAGCTGTAACTTTTTGAGTTAGCCAACCACTAAATTTTGAAATGTTTTGTTTTAAATCAATTTTCCTTTAAAGATAATTATTATTCGCCTGTCTTTATATTTTAATATATTTTTCTTTTATAATTTAGAACTAGATTCCACCGCTGTAGCAACAAATCAAGATAACAAAAATAATGTAACACCTCTTAAAATGATACTCGCATTGTGGAAAAAGCAGATGTCTGGAAGCGCTCTTATAAAAGCTGATTACCAAGAAGTAAAGGTTAGTTAATAATAATGTACATTATAGTCGCGGTATGCTGTGATGGCCGTTTTGACACATTGCAATAGTGACAAAAAAGGTCAATTTGTTATCAAAATATATCTACAATCAAAAATCTAATATAATCAATTATGAGTCACATCATACCTAGGTGTACTATTGGTTAAAACTTTTAATTGTAACTTAAGATAATAAAAAAACGACAATTAATTATTTATATTTACATAATCCTTTTTCCTTCCTTCCTTGATTTTTTAATGACAAATGATTTTGGAATTAGATTAACTCTGCGTTAGCAATGCACTGGTTGTTATGTTAAGTAATATAAGTACCTATTCATATACTTTGTTTACTCTTTTAAAATAATATTTATGATATTAAATTAGTGTGGTGACGTTAATAAGTGGCTGTAAAGGCTTATGTTGAACAAATAATTTCTGATTCTGAATTATTTTGTCAAATGTTTTAGTTTTTTGTTGTTATAAAAGATATAACATTATTTTTTTTTAACTTGAAAAGTTTTCGGAATCATAGTATAGTTTTGTAAATGTTTAATGCTACGCCCGAAAAAAAATAATTCGACAAATTTTATGACTAAATGCGCGTCTCTAATGACAATAAAGAATAAGAATTATTTCTTTCAAATGTGAAATGTTCTAAACATTTCGAATATGAAACTTCATGGACTCACAAACAAACGTTAAAACGGCCGTCATAGCGCTACTATAATAAACTTTAGCGGTACCAAATAATTAACATGTGTATATAACAATATTGAATAGAATCCTATTGTTAAATCATTAATGAGGGTATTTAGGAAAATTCAAGTCACTGGTTGGCGCCACTGTGACGTGACGCCTTTTGTATGAAGTTATTGGTACGAATTAATCGAACGAGCATTTAAATTGATCCATACACTATGACGAAATATGCGATTTGACGGATGAGTAGTTTTTTCATTCAGGCACAGTCATTTTAGAAAACCCATTTTTTAGCCCAGTCCCAAAAAATAAAGTACAAATAGTACACTTACTTTACCACAGTGTGAGATCTTGCAAAATTTATGAATAATAATCGATTAAGATAATAGCTTGATATTTAGGTGACCTCTGCCTAAACTATAGAGCAAGAGCCAGCGGCCCGCAGGCCTTCGGTAAAGTATAAAAGCTGTAAGTTTCTCAATGTATGTCCCCAACACAGGTAAGAACGAACCCCGTCTATGTAACTTGGGTCGCGGTGGCTTTCGCAGGTATCAGGTAATAAAGGTGTGTAAAATTGTGTGTTAAATTTGGTAAAGTATAAAACTCAGTTTTTACATATTTTACTTATAATAATCCTAAAAGTCACCTTGCCGAAAGCCAGACACTTCGTACGGTTCCAACCCTCTGCCAGACACCCTTAAAGTATATTTAATTGTTACTATACTTACGGTATAGTATAAAAGCTGCAATTTATATATGTTATTTGGATAACTATAAAATAATGTTTTCTCAATAGCCAGACAGTTTCAGTGGTTCCTTTATGTTGCCAGGCACATCAAAAGTCTAATGTAGGTGCGAGCGCGAGGGATATATGTGTCAGCGGGTGCGAGTGAAATAGCGCGTTCGGTCCATTGCGACGTTTTACTGCGCATCAACTGTCATTTATTGTGTATTAGTGGTGAATAGTAATACGTACAGCAAGCGTTTTATTATTTTTTTGTTCAGTTTATAAAGTAATAAGGGAAAATCAGTGTGATCATGGAAGAACAATTAATTTGTTTTCTATGTAAGAAAAGTGATGGAAAAATAATATTGTTTTCGAACAAGAAAACGTCTTTAAAACCATTCAGCGATATATATGCAATTTATACAATGCTGGTAATATTATTGATGTTGATACAGCACGATTCCAAATGTTTATAGATTCCTATACAGTCTCTGATGTCAACGAGGCATTTAATCGAAAAAAATTACGAAGTTTCGATGCCAGCAGTTTGCCACCTTGTAAAAGTGAGCTATCTCAGCAATTTTTGCGGGCAAATTATATTTGTACTATTTGGAATAATGCTCACCTGAAGAAACCAACTACATACAAACCAGAAAATAATGGTTGGATCTTGCAAAATGATCAATATCATTTTAAATGGTTTGAAGGTGATCAGCTACCAAACTACGTCAGTGATTCTCTAACAACTGTATCAGGTATGTAATTATGATGTTACAATATTATTGAGGAAATTATAATTATTTATGATTATGTTAACATGGATTAATTATTACAGAAACTGGCGAAGAAGAAGACGATGTTGATGACGACCAACCCACTTGTTGGAGCAGCGATGATGAAGACACTCAAGATATTGACGACTACGATGACAATAATTAAATACACTTTTTTTTCATTAATAAAATACCTTTGAAACATTTTTCCATTAATTATTGTGTTAGATTAATTGTATGATTCCCATATATATTATAAAAATAATCATTTAAAGATATTATTCGATTGTTAATTTTATGATTCCTAAACACGAAAATTTTATAAAAGAATTTTCTAAACATTTATTTGTTGATTTTAAGTTATTGTACCCTTACTAATGAATTTTACTAATGAATTTTCATAGTAAATCTAGAAAATAGTTCTCATTATATACAATAAATGATAGATGATGCGCAATAAAGCGTCGCAATGGACCGAACGCGCTATTTCACTCGCACCCGCTGACACATATATCCCTCGCGCTCGCACCTACATTAGACTTTTGATGTGCCTGGCAACATAAAGGAACCACTGAAACTGTCTGGCTATTGAGAAAACATTATTTTATAGTTATCCAAATAACATATATAAATTGCAGGTTTTATACTATACCGTAAGTATAGTAACAATTAAATATACTTTAAGGGTGTCTGGCAGAGGGTTGGAACCGTACGAAGTGTCTGGCTTTCGGCAAGGTGACTTTTAGGATTATTATAAGTAAAATATGTAAAAAACTGAGTTTTATACTTTACCAAATTTAACACACAATTTTACACACCTTTATTACCTGATACCTGCGAAAGCCACCGCGACCCAAGTTACATAGACGGGGTTCGTTCTTACCTGTGTTGGGGACATACATTGAGAAACTTACAGCTTTTATACTTTACCGAAGGCCTGCGGGCCGCTGGCTCTTAGACTATAGGATCAAATAGTAAGGTCCGTATTAGATTAGAGTTGAGAGCGATCTATTAATACGGGCCTAAGTGTGTATTGTCCTGATCAAAAACATGCGTTTGAAAATGAATTTGGAAATAAATTTATCGCAGAGCGGGGAAGGTTGGTGGGCGGGCGTTTACGCGTGCGAAGTAGCAGAGGCGGCGCGCGTGTGTCGCCTGCTGCACCGCGCGCTTAGCTCGCTGGCCAGGCAGCCTGCGCCCGAGCCTCTGAGCCAGGTATGTGCTTTTATCATGCTAGACGCATATTTATTTATTTATTGATGTGTAACATCTTTCCTCTCGCTTTCGTGCAATTTGTGGGAATGATTACGTGAAGTGGGACGGAATTCTGTAACAGGAAGTTTGGTAAGCGCGCGCTATTTGATTTGATTTTAGTACATAATGTTTGGGGGGGTTGCTTCCCACACTTGAATGCTTGCTAAGGGTAAGGTTACTCCAAGGAGTGCTAAAAAAAACCTAACCGTTTGAATGTTGTAAAAACACTAATTTATTTCAGTAACTAATTGTGCAAAGGAAAATACAATTGATTATGCTTATAGTAATCTGGGTCAATTTGCAATTTTTATAATGTTAATGTTAATGTTGTACAGCTCGTACAATGTTCAAATGGCTTATTCCTTTTGTAGTAGGTTTTATTTCTTTTTTTACTAATGTAAGGTGAGGTTTCAATTGTTGCACATCATAAGCGACTACTGTAAGGCTCGCTCGTTTTTTTAGAAGACCAACAGTATAAAAATAATAAAAACTTAAATAATAACAAATGCCAATTACAGGTCTTCACCAATAAAAAACACATTACAACATAACTAAGCACACTTTTAACACAATAATTACAAAAAAGAACATTGTACAATAGCCTATTCGTCAAACGCTGATGATGATGTAACGCTAGTATAAAATAAATCAATATGTTTGGTTCTCTGCCAGCTTCTTCGCTTTTTAGACATTTACGCCCTTATTAATAAACAAGGAATAAGCTTAGACTAGTTACGCCGTATTTTTGTTCATGTCATCAAATGCCATTTGTCATTCAATAGACAGAGATAAAACGTGGAGTAACGTAACCAATCGTAGTCTTTATTTATTAATAAGGGGTTACAGTGTGTAACAAAAGAGAAAATTCTATATTCATTTTTATTCATGTTTCAAGACAAGTATCTAAGTGGCGTTAAAATAAAGCAGGATTAGTAAGTAGCTCGGTCATTATCACTTCCATCTGTCAAAAACCCTTAGCGAACAGGCCTACAGATCAGGAATTCGGATTCGGAGACCTGCACGTCCTCACTGTCGTAGGAATAGTTTATATATTCATACTTACTTATATGCAACCTCTTTGGCTCTACATAGATTAAGTATTTAAAAGGACATGAATAAACGTCACCTTATGTGAGACATGCTGTGCTAAAATGTTTGTTTGATTTATTTAAAATATATTTCTTTAAAATATTACATGGTGTCAGGTGTGGTTTATTTGCAATAAAAATGTTTTTAAAGTGGTAGATTGCATTAAGAATGTCGGAAAAAAGTCAGCGCGGAGTAAAATCCGAAAGTACAATGGGTACGATGTTACAACAGCCGGCTGCAATGGAGGAAGACGGCAATATAGCGACGAATTGGAGAGAATGGAAATCAGCTTTTGATTATTATTTGATTGCAACTGGTAAGGACAATGCTAGTTCGAGAGAGAAATGCGCGTTGTTTATGCATGTGATTGGGAAGTATGGACGTGAAATATTAGAGGAATTAGACTTGGAGGAGAGTATTAGGACAAAATATGAGGAGCTTGTCTTGAAATTCGCCAATCACTGTGATCCCGCGCGTAATGTTAACTATGAAAGACATTTATTTTTTGAAACTTATCAAAAGGAGGAAGGTTTTCACAAGTTTTTGAGCACACTAAAATTCAAAAGTAAATCTTGTGATTTTGGCCAGTTGAAAAACAGCCTTATTGTAACACAATTAATAAGAGGCATAAGAGATTTTAAGATGCGAGAAAAAATATTAGCAAAGCCGAAGTTAGAACTGGAGGACGCAGTTTCGTGGTGTCGCGCTGCGGAGAAATTTACTCAAATGCTTGGTATTGTGATATTTTAGTAAATAACTATAGGGTAAAGTTTAATCTTGATAGTGGCGCAGAAGTCTTAGTTATGTCACTAAATGCTTTTAGAGAGGCTGGCTTTTCTGGCTCGTTATTAAAGAAAAATAATTCTGTAATTAGAGAAGTAAGTCGATCAAAGCTGCCGGTCGTCGGTTACTTTGAACCTGTTTTACGTTATGATCAAAAAGATTGTCAACATAAAGTATATGTTTTAGATTTAAATTGTAGTAATTTATTAGGGTTGAGAGCTTGTCGTGAGTTGGATCTAATAAAGAGTAAAATTAGTGTAAATGAATTGTCAGAATATAAAATTGAAGATTTTGTTTTTGAAGGAATGGGATGTTTACCATATGTTTATAAAATTTAAATAGATAAAAGTGTAACTCCTGTAGTTAATTGTTCGAGGAAAGTTCCTATTAAAGTTATGCCAAAGTTAAAAGTAGAATTAGAGAATATGGAAAAATGTGATATAATCATTAAAGAAGAAGCTCCTACAGATTGGGTTTCGAATATTGTGATAGTTGAGAGACCGGGTAAATTGCGAATATGTTTAGATCCTTTTCATTTGAACAAAGCAGTACGTCGTTGTCACTTTCAATTGCCTACATTGGAGGAACTATCGAGTAATCTTACTGGTGCCAATTTTTTCACTAAGCTAGATGCGAAAAATGGATTTTGGATGATGAAGCTGGATGAAGCTAGTTCTAAGCTGTGTACCTTTTCAACGCCGTTTGGATGGTACAGATTTTTGAGAATGCTATTTGGTATAAATTGTGCACCGGAAATCTTTCATAAAGAAATGTATAAAATATTTTCTATGCCAGGAGTAGAAGTATTTGCGGACGATATATTAATTTGGGGAAAAAATAAACAAGAACATGATCAGAAACTTCAAGAGGTGATAGAAAAAGCTAAGCAGTTTAATGTAAAATTTAATAAGAATAAATGTGTAATTATGATTTTTTTTAAGCATAGCAGTTAACTGCTAGATGTTAGATTGTGGGTTACCTACAATGCGAAGAGATGGCGCTGCCTTGCAGCTTAAGGCTAGGAAAATTTCGACGCGGCTAATAGGGCCGTGGTAGCATAATGGTCAGTGCATTCGCCCGGATAGCGAAGGAGTTGTTCGAGTCCCGTCCGCTGCCTGGTCCGCGTGGATTTTTTTCTAGTAAACTTTTCTTTAGATTTAAGAATAAATGTGTGTTTGGTGTAAATGAAGTACAATTTTTGGGACATACATTTAATAAAAACGGCATAAGTCCTACAGATTCTAGAGTGAAATCAATTGCTTGCATTCAGAACCCAAAAGAAAAAAAAGAGTTGGAGCGTTTCTTGGATATGACTAATTACTTATCTAGATTTATACCTAACTATTCACAAGTGGCTTCTCCTTTGCGCATGCTCTTAAAGAAGAATATTGAGTTTGAATGGTTGCACATTCATGAAAATGCATTTAATGAATTAAAAAAACTTATTAGCAACGCTCCTGTTTTGAGATGTTATTCGTCGAGAGAATCAGTAACGCTTAGCGTTGATGCATCTGGTGAAGGACACCAGACAACATGCTCCTAAATGTTTGCTGCAAGACCGAAGACCAGTTGCTTATGCTGCGCGAACACTCACATCTACAGAAAAAAGATGGGCGCAAATAAAGAAAGAAATGCTGGCTATTCTTTTTGGTTGTCTTGGGTTTCATCAATATATTTATGGGCACAGTGTTATAAATGTAGAAAGTAAACCTCTCGAAATAATATTTAAGAAACCTTTAAATGAAACGCCAGCGAGATTACAGCGTATGTTATTAATGTTGCAGACTTATAATTTAAAAGTTGAATACAGACCAGGTAAAGAAATGCATATTGCAGATGCATTATCTGGGGCTGCCACTGGAAATGAAATTAACGATTGTGATAGGGCTAATACAGAGGATATTGTGGTACACGTGAATGCAATATTTACAAATTTGGATGCTTCGGATGAAAAAGTAGAGCTTATTAGGATTGTTACGGAAAAGGATGAAATTTAAAATAAAGTCATTGCTTATTATTACGAAGGATGGCCACAAAATAGGAATTTAGTGCAGCCTGTTGCAAGAGTATATTGGTTAATGAGACATGATTTGCATGTTATTAATGGAATTTTGTTTAAGAATTGTCAAATTGTTATACCACAGAGCTTGCGAAAGGATATGTTGACACGTATTCACGAAGGACATTTAGGTATAGAAAAGAGTAAGAGACGTGCGCGAGATGTGATTTGGTGGCCGGGAATGAGTGCTGAAATTGAGGAGTGTGTGCGACGCTGCGAGCCGTGCCAAAGACATCGCGCGGCGCCTCCACGAGAGCCACTCTTATCACATCCAATACCAGAACTACCTTGGGAGATGTTAGCTGCTGATATTTTTGAATTGAATAGTAATATGTTTTTATTGGTGGTCGATTATTATTCTAAATTTGTAGAGGTCATGTCATTAAGTAATTTAAGAAGTGAAACTGTAATAAACATGTTTAAATGTATTTTTTCAAGATTTGGTATTCCAAATAGGGTTATAACTGATAATGGACGTAGTTTACATCTGCTGAATTTAAAAAGTTCGCAGACGATTGGGAATTCCGACATGTGACGAGCTTGCCGATGTATCCGCGGTCTAATGGTCTAGCGGAGAGAAATGTGCAAACAATTAAACGGCTCTTGAAAAAAGCCACTGAAGATAAGACTGAGTGGACCTTGACCTTACTTAATTTTAGAAATGCTAAAGTAACAGGAGAAAATTATTCGCCAGCTGAATTGCTCATGGGAAGATCACTTAGGACTCGGTTACCAGCGGCTTCTACTACTCTAAGCCCACAACCAATTCGATTTAATGATTTTAGAAATAATCGACAAGAAAGGACAAACAAAAAGAAGGAGTATTATGACAGAGGAACTAGAAGAGCTTCAACATTAAAATCTCGATAAAGTGTGAGGATGAGGGAAGGAAACGTATGGAGGAAAGCGGAGATAGTTAAGAAGGCACAAGAACCAAGGTCATATTAGGTGAAAGTTGATAACGGTGGTACATATCGTAGAAATAGGTCACACATTATAGATTCTAATAATCGTAATAGATCCAGTCTCAACAACTATGAATCTAATTTAAAAAGTAGGAATGATTCTTTTACACAGTCTTCGCAATCACAATATATAAGAGGACGAACAGGCAATGTATCGCATTATGTTATTCGTAGTGGTAGAGTTGTGCGACCACCAGCAAGGTGTGGAGATTAGTAGTTAAAATTAGTGATACACATATTTGTTAATTCAGAAGTAGTAATGTTTTAGTTTATTTTATTTTTGTGTTCTCATATATTCAGAATGTATGTAATAAAAAAAAAGCATTGCAAAACGAGAGAGATATCGTAGGAATAGTTTATATTCATACTTACTTATATGCAACCTCTTTGGCTGTATTTAAAAGGATATGAATAAACGTCACTTTATGTGAGACATGCTAAAATGTTTGTTTGATTTATTTAAAATATATTTCTTTAAAATATTACACTCATATACAAAATATTCAACGGGGGCACACTATTCTATTTTTTTCAGAATGGAAAAAACCTGACGTTCAGTTCGTAAAATACCTACCTCATAAAATAACGAAACCGAGAGCTAGGCTCACGAAGTTCCAAATCTGAATTCCTAATCATGAAACCGCTAATATTATATGTCCAGCTTTAATATTAAACAAGTATTAATAAAACGATCGAATAAAAAAATACAAGCAACTGATGATAAAAAATGTTTTATTATAATAAATTGATTGGTATGGAACGTCACGTTTTCTTCAAACAATATATTCATATTCCTTACCGACGTGCAAATGAAACAAATCATAAAATTTTATTTCTTTCCGTTTTTTCTCGTTTCTCAAAGGCGCTCAAGATTTTAATCGCTTACGAAAAGTTTTATAGATACGTCAAATGTTATTATCTTTTTATATAAATATTCTCGATTTTAATATTCCAGAAAGTTTTAGCAGAACAAAATCATCATCATCATTCAAAATCATTTATAGAGCACTTAAAGTATGGACTGTGCCCAGACCCGTCTTTCCCATTAGGCACTTTGGGCAAGTGCCCAGGGCCCCGCGATCGATAGGGGGCCCCTTCAAGTCAAATACAAAGTCCCTAGTTCCTGTTAAATCACCAAACGGAAGTCATAGGGACCCCATTATCCTAATATGCCCAGGGCCTCCAATAGGTTCCGTGGCAGTTTGGCTGGGTCTGCTATCGGGCGCGTCCTCCTGGGTGGCGGATGGGGGGTACCGGCTTCGGCCGGCGTGGACCATACCCAGCTGTGGAGACCTGGCTGGCATCCTGGGTATCCCGGGTAGCGGCAGTCGGGTCAGGCTCGTAACCCTGCACATAGTGCGGGGCCGAGGGCCGCCGTCTGCAAAAGAACTGTTTCCTTTGGAGGCGGGGGCTGCGAGGAAGACAACCTCTCTAAAAAATCACCCGAGGGGTCTCTCGGCCGGCGCCCTGGGTAGCCCGGGTAGCGGTGGTCGAGACTCTGTAGGTTGAGGCGGAAACGCCGTTGGTGAGGGCGGTTGCGGCGCGAACTCCGCGTCGCCTCCGGCCAACCCGTAACCCCGCACGGGATGTGGGGCCGGGGGCCGCCGTCCTTCGGGGCGGGGGCTACAAGGAAGAAAACCTTTTCAAAAATCACCCTTGAAGAGGCCAGGTAGGGTTCCCTCGCCCGGAAGAGGGAAAAACTATGAGAAATGTCGAATTATGTTGTGAGTATGTCATGCGCTCCCGTTGACGCCGGGCGCTCTGGGGTAGCTGGGCCCCAGGGTGAGAAGTTAGTAACTAGCGGCCAATGCGCTCCGGCTGGCCACCGGCGCTGCGGGATTACCGGGTCCCGCAGTGGTAAATTAGTTACCGAGGCGATCGAGGGAGTAGGCATCCTGCGCCTTAAAGGCGGCAGGAACGGAGAGGATGGGGTGGGCTCAACATCATTGCCCCCCAAGTCGAGCACGACCCGTAAGGGGAAGGGTAAGCGTAAAGCTTCCCCAGTTTCCCCTGCGGAAGACGAAAGCGATGATACCCTTACGGTGCCGGAGATCAGGTTCCAGGTTGAACAGCGTCTGAGATATCTCGACTCCGTGGTGGATGAATACCCGGTGGACAAAAAGCATGCTGAGATGGCCTATCGGGCAACAAAGGAGATCAAGAAATTCCTGGAGATGGCCCTGCGGAGGTCCAATGACACAGAAAGGATGGAGCAGATAGAGGAGGAGAACATCCGTCTCCAAAAGGAAAGCCAGAAGACAAAGGCTGAGATGGACAAATTGCGAGCAGAGTTGGGATCGCTGAGGAAAGCGATGGAGGAGAGAGCGCCTCTTCCAACCACACAATTGGTGCCACTGGAGGCCGTCGAGGAGCTGAAACGCTCCCTTATGATATCCATAGGGGAGATGGTCAGCACTCGGCTGGCTTCCCTCGAGAAGAGGCTTCCGCCGCCGGATCGGATCAGGCCGCCCCTTGCAGCGGACCGGCGTGGCGCGGAGACGGAAGGGAAGAAGGCCGCAGCGATGGTGGAGACCTGGAGCACTGTGGCCAAAAAACCGGCGAAGAAGAAGGGTGCGGGCCCAGGAGCGACCCAGGTGCCGGAGGTGGCGAGGACGCGCGCGCCAGTGCCAAAGAAAGCGCAGCGACCGGAGGGTGGGAGAGCAAAAATGAGGGCGCCAAACACCGCGGCTGTGTCCTTGACACTGACGCCGACCGCGAAGAATAAAGGGGTCACCTACACGAAGCTGCTGGAGATGGCCAGGACGAAGGTGAGACTCTAGGAAGTCGGCATAGAGGGAGGTCTTCAGATTCGGGAAAGCCGTATGGGGACCAAACTCTTGGTGGTTCCGGGACCGGACAGTCCCGCAAAGGCCGATGCCCTCACGAAGCGCATCGGCGAGGTAATGGCGGATTACGTGGAGGTCGGTAGACCGGAGAGGGTAGCCGACCTGCGGATCACCGGGCTGGATGAAACAGTGACGGCGGAGGAGCTGGTGCAGGCTGTGGCGGAAAAGGGAGGCTGCCGGGCCTGCAAGGTAGAGGTGGGGGACATTCTCTCCGGATCGGGAGGCAACGGGTTCGCCAAGGTGAGGTGTCCCGTAGTGGCGGCCAAAAAGGTGGCGGAGGGCGACAGGCTGAAGGTGGGCTGGAGTCTTGCTCGGGTGATGGCACTGGGCCCCCCACCTTCGCACTGCTGTAGGTGCATGGGCAGGGGCCACGTCGCCAGTAGGTGCCCGTCCAGGGAAGACCGCAGTGGCCTGTGCTTCAGGTGTGGGACGACCGGACACAAGGCGGCCACATGCACCGCCCCGTCGCGATGCGCAGTGTGTGAGGAGAGTGGTCGACCGGCCGACCACGTTATGAGGAGGGGGAGTTGTGACCCGCCGGTCACGAAGGGGAAACCCCCCGAGAATGGCCCCTCTGAGGCGTTGACGCCTGTACGAGCGCCCTCGGAGGGGGGGATGTCCGAGTAGCCCTGGCCGCTCGGACCCCCCACGAATGCGGTCGCCGCGTTCCCCCCTCTTCTCCCAGGAGAAGGGACAGGGAGATGTGGGCGGCCGGGAGGGGGGAGAGGGACGATAAGAACTACGCTTCCCCTCCCGCTTCCCCCTCCCAGGAACGGCGGCCCTCCTCATGTGGTTCTGTCTGCAAGGTTCAAGTTCTGTGGGCGGCGGAGGGTTATAGCCCTCCGCAGCGGACGGGGGGCGGTACGGTGGGCATTAGGCCGCGTACGCAGCCCCCATGCGCGGGCCTACCTGCGCACGTCTGCGGGGTCGCCGCAGTACCTCGGGAGACCCCTGCCGTGGAGCCCCGGCGAGGCCGGGAAGCTGCTAGGTGCGGGGATGCGGAGAAATCCCACCAAGGGGATCCCGCAGCTCCGCATCAGGCAGTAGTAAAGGTATTCGCAGGACTTTTTTAGCGGATATTATGCCTCAAAGCGCCCGTAAGGGTTGCGGTGTCCCAGGTGGGCAGCCACTGGGGGGTCCGTAAGACTTGCGGGAGCCAGGTGTGAGGTCCGTTCGGCGGTGTGCCTCTTACAGGCGCCGTCGTCTGTAAAAAGATTTTTTACCTGCGTAAAAAAAAGGGCCTCCGATAGGTCAAAGACGGCACTGACTGTGCCATTATGACACTCACTGACCATCCACAGCTTGGGACATGACATTGCGTGAAGATAATAAAATAATGTATGTTTTTGTTTATTCGCAGACACCGGCAGAATGGCAGTCGTGGTGGGCGGGGCCCGAAGAGAGCCTGGTCTACGTGAGAGAATTCTGCCACCGTGCACTCGCTGCTGAAGCGCGTATGCGCTCTAATACTGACCATATACCCAAAGGTCAGAATCGCTTACACTTGAAAGAAAGAAAGAAAAATAACCTTATACATAAATACAATAAATTAGGTCTAAACATTTGCGTCACTAAAAAGGCAGTCCACTCAGCATGTGTCGGATGTCGTAGACCGTCCGACGCTGGTATTCCGTGGTTACCTTGAAAAGTAGGGATGAGAATACGAATAGCCAATTTGGAAGAAAATTAAATTAAATTTTACGGATACTAGGGAAAAAGTGTAGGGCGTTACTTCCCGGTCTCAAATCAACTCGATCAATGTTTCAGGAGGAATTTGTTTATTATTTTTTCCCTTTCGATTTATAAATTGAGCAGATTTATGCTTAAAATCATTCGGTACTAGGAAGTTGCTGACTAATACACTAGATACTAGATCAATTCAGTCTTTGTTAATTTGTATACTTTAAATGTAATAAAGTTTACTTAAATATCGAACTATAATATTTCCTGTTTCACTAAAAAACATTACCTTCACAAAAAGTAACAGCGGTGTGGAAGCATCACTCGTTATTTTGGGCCGATACCGTTATGATTTGACTCGACAAAGATTCGTAACTACTCACTAAAAAACGTGTGTATAATATCATGCGTGACTGTTATGACGGGTTATCATGAGAGAGATGAGAGACTAAAAATATATTATATCGGGCTCCTCCTTGCTACGGAAGGTACGTAAAGCCGTTGGTTCCGGCTGCATTTGCAGTCATTTTTAGCATCATTAGCATCCACCAATTTGCACTGGGCGGGCGTGGTCATGGCGCAATCTCCGTATTTCATCTATAGAAAATGCCTGTACCCCAGCAGTGGGAACCACATCCCTAACTTTTACTAGACGACCCATGTGCATCAAGTTGTATGACTACGGAGCGTGTAATTTTTTGAGTGGGAACTCAAAGAACAAATTTCGTGAAGCAAAGTAAGGGCTCTGGTCACCCGTTCCAATTCGGTTGTTTTTATAGCTCAATGACGCATAATTAGTCATGTTTAAAAATTTCGATAGACGTCCGGTACGGTGATGCGAAGAAATAGAATAGCGCGAAAGAATAACTGTCCCCTTCCACCATATACCATATTTTTGACACGAGTAATACAAAAACTTGTATTACATAATTTCCATGTATGTCTGTGGTGGTAATAGTAATAGCCTGGTAATGTTAGTAACTAAATTATTATTGTTGTCGCAGAAGTGGATTTGCGCTCGTTCTTGTACGCAGCGCGCGTGGTTTGGGCATTACGCGCGCGCGCCGCCTACAGTCTGGGCTGCGACGTGAATCAACTGACGCTGCTCACCAAGTGGGCGCCACGCCAAGGTATCGTTCTCTCCCGTACACACTCGCCCTGTCCCTCACACACGCCCTTTTATTTCTTTATTGTTGGGAAAATGCGTGACGCATACCCCGCTCCTGGGTGAGAGAAGGGGTTATTTGGGTCTCCTTCTCCCCCCAAATCCCGCCCACCCGCTCCGCCAAACTGGCTCAGCAGCTGCTCGGGATGAGGGGGGAGGGGGTGGCTACCCATTAAAAACCCAACAGTGCTTCCTCGCTTGCCGGAACGGGTTTCGTGGGATCATGGTGACTCTCCACTTTATTCCTCCTCTTGGCGGTCAGGGGGATGCCCGGAAGCACCTAGGCATCCCCCCTCGAATGTGCAATGCGGATGACGGACCACCCTGTCTGCCGTCCGCTAGCCTCACTAGGGTGGAAAGAGGTGGTCATACCGCCGCCGGAGAGGGCCGGTCCGGGCGTCCACCTCGCGGGCCCTCTCCGCTGTCTCCTTCTGGAGGATGACTTCCTCACAGAAGGAGACTACCGCAGTCCAGGATTTGTCGTTGTTCAGCATCACTCTAACGACGCTGAGCAGCGAGATCCCGTCCTATTGCCATGCCCATATCATGGCGCGGCCGGGACCACGACGGGCACTCCTCAAGGGTGTGCTGTGCCGTGTCCCCAACAGCGCCACAATGATGGCACGACGGATCACACATTCGCCCTCTCCCTTACGCACTCACTGGTGCGGGCGCTGCGGCGTGCAACATCTGATGCTGTTCACCAAGCTGCGCCAGGGTCCTGCTCTCTCCCTCACACACTCGCCCTCTCCCTCACACACTCGTCCTCTCCCTCACACACTCGCACTCTCCCTCACACACTCGCACTCTCCCTCACACACTCACTGGTGCGGGCGCTGCGGCGTGCAACAACTGGTGCTGTTCACCAAGTGGGAGCTGCGCCAGGGTCCCGCTCTCTCCCTCACACACTCGCCCTCTCCCTCACACACTCACTGGTGCGGGCGCTGCGGCATGCAACAACTGATGATGTTCACCAAGTGGGCGCTGCGCCAGGGTCCCGCTCTCTCCTTCACACACTCACCCTCTCCCTCACACACTCACTGGTGCGGGTGCTGCGGCATGCAACAACTGATGATGTTCACCAAGTGGGCGCTGCGCCAGGGTCCCGCTCTCTCCTTCACACACTCGCCCTCTCCCTTACGCACTCACTGGTGCGGGCGCTGCGGCGTGCAACAACTGACGTTGTTCACCAAGGGGCGCTGCGCCAGGGTCCCGCTCTCTCCCTCACACACTCGCCCTCTCCCTCACACACTCGTCCTCTCCCTCACACACTCGCACTCTCCCTCACACACTCACTGGTGCGGGCGCTGCGGCGTGCAACAACTGGTGCTGTTCACCAAGTGGGCGCTGCGCCAGGGTCCCGCTCTCTCCCTCACACACTCGCCCTCTCCCTCACACACTCACTGGTGCGGGTACTGCGGCGTGCAACAACTGATGCTGTTCACCAAGTGGGCGCTGCGCCAGGGTCCCGCTCTCTCCCTCACACACTCGCCCTCTCCGTCACACACTCGTCCTCTCCCTCACACACTCACTGGTGCGGGCGCTGCGGCGTGCATCAAATGATCTCTCTCTCTCACACACACTCGCTTTCTATCCCACACTGTCACCCACTCAGCGGAAGATTATAACAGAAAACAAACTCTTTCGTCATTCAATTCTTAAACTTGTCAATTAACGTCAAATTAGAAATACCTATTATGAATACCCACTCATGCACCTTAGTAGTACAAATATGCTTAATATGAACGAATATTAGAATCTCAATTTTTACTCGATGACTGCTATACGTGAAATGTGCAAATCTCAAGCGTTGTAGCCAACGATATTAAATACCCTAGATACACCACCAGCGCTCAAAATATGTCCCAAGCAAGAAGTGTTTGGACGACGCCTAAGCACTTCTTCGTTCACAGTCTCGCGAGGACCGTAGTAAACGCAACATGCTAAAGTGCTCCGTGAAAAAATGCCAAAACAACACATTATTCACACTTAAGAAGGATGGAGTGTCTTATTTTCGGTAAGTACCGAACCTATGTTTGTTAATTCAACGCATTTGTAGTAAATATCGCCCTAAATCCTACTATAATTGCTTAAATAAACAAATAATTTTAATAATCAAATGCATACCCAGTAACGCAGTTGTCTCTTTCTCTTCGTAAGTGTTAAAAGAGTACGGCAAAGACACGTGTAAGTGTGGAATGAGAATATAGCCGAAGGTTAAATGAACGGAGTAGCTATTTGTTTTTAAGCATGATCATATTATTTATTGTTTGAACAGATTCCATTTTAGTTTGCGTGTTTTGATTAAATATGGGTGTAAGTTTGTATATTTAATAATAATCTATTTTAGCCATAAGCATTTCATCTAAAGAGAATATAATTAGAAAATATTCCACGCGGACCAGGCAGCAGACGGGACTCGAACCCGCACCCTTTGCTATCCGGGCGAATGCATTGACCAATTATGCTACCGTGGCCTTGATGGCTGCGACGAAATTCTTCTAGCCATTCTTAAACTGCAAGGCAGCGCCATCTCTTCTCATTGTAGGTAACCCACAATGGCAAATGAATACTTTTACAAGTATTAAATATTCGGGCGAGGCCCGAAGACACTTTTCGTAACGCATAACGCATTCGCAAGCTTACCCCAAAAGTAAAGCGTACGTAAAAAAGTTTCACTTAAAAAATGTTGACCCTAAGAAATATTTATTACATTTTGGCAAATCTATTTAGGTATTTATCATGAACTTTAAACACTTTATATAATAAGCATTACGTAAAGCATTTTATATAATATAATCTAATAAAAATGTGAAGGTGGTACTTAAAGCAATTTAAAAAAAATTACTTTGTATTCAATTTGAAATTTACAGAAACCACTCTACGGCATCTTTGTTCCCAATGCCCTATATTACTTTCTGCATGCATCGCATTCAGAACTAGACCTAAAGTCAAGGAATTAGTCTTTATCTTGTCGCTTTCGAAGAAAAGCAATAAAATTTTACGACCTTGCAATTGGGTTGCATTCTAAACTGTCATAACTCTTTGACAAAACCGCATTAATTAAGTCCGTATCACCTATAAATTAATGTTGACTTTCAAATGTTGAATATACGGACATTATTTTAACTCACGCGTTGGTACGCGACCTTCCTATGTACCTTTAGGACAGTTTCCTCAACGATTTTGTACGTGATGGTGTATCTAGGATATTTAATTAGCAGTTAATTCTAAAGAAAAGTTTACTAGAAAAAAATCCACGCGGACCAGGCAGCGGATGGGACTCGAACACGCATCCTTCGCTATCCGGGCGAATGCACTGACCATTATGCTACCACGGCCCTATTAGCCGCGTCGAAATTTTCCTAGCCTTAAGCTGCAAGGCAGCGCCATCTCTTCGCATTGTAGGTAACCCACAATGTCAAACGAATACTTTTTCAAGTATTATACATTCGAAAGAAGAAATAGCAATTATAGTTATGATTTTATTTATTTTTTAAGCATTTAACTGCTAGATGTTTAAATCTAAAGAAAAGTTTACTAGAAAAAATGCGGGTTCGAGTCCCGTCCGCTGCCTGGTCCGCGTGGATTTTTTTTTTCTAGTAAACTTTTCTTTAGATTTAAACATCTAGTAGCAGTTAATTGCTTAAAATATTGAATATCTACTTTCTACAATGTTTGTTACATATCCTATACATATTAGCACGGCCAACTCACTCACTGAAACTATGCCAAAAGCCACTTTAATTATACTATTACTCTATAACTTACCACGACAAACTTACTCACTGGAATTTTGTCAATGGGGGAAAAAATTCAAAGCTTATTACAGATGGCGCTTTGGCCGTTTGGCCTATCACTTCCTACCTATCCTTACCGCAAGCAACCTATCACTTCAAGGCTGCGTTCTAAACCTACGCACTGAGTGCAACTTTTTACCCTGAAGTTTCAATTTTGACTTCCAATGTATGAAACTTGTTTCAAAGGAGATTGCTCAGTTTCCATACATGTTTGGCCTAAAGACCAATAATCATGAAAAATTGTTTCCTAGATTCGAAATTATATATAAATTACTGTAGAAACGAATATTATTTACGGACACCCCTGAGAACTTCTATAAACCATATACACTGAACATATTAAAATAATGAAAAACAAATAAGTTATATAGTAAACTAGGGAAATCAAGCCAAGTACCGAAATTATGGATTAGATTCAGGTATATAGAGCATGTAGATTAACAGATAGTTGCTTGTTTTTAAAGTTAATGCATAAGAGTAACTTTTAAAATCAGGTGTCATTTCCGGTTATAATAAGGTACTCTGTGACAGAATCTGTATGATGATTCTGAATGAGCCACAGATTAGAGAGATTTTTTAAACTCTCGTTAACCAAAGAAAACTAAGAGATTTAGGTTCTATAGCTTTAGTATATTCAGTAGCTTCATTATTTTTGTTATGTTTTTAAAATAACCATATTTTAGATTTTTAGTGTATCACACCTTATAATTTTATTTATTTACTAGCTGACCCAGCGAACTTCGTACCGCCATAAAAAAAAAAATTAAAAAGACATTGTCCAGCGGACAAAATTGTGAATCTAAACCATTCTCAGATCCACTTGAACACACACAAAAAATTTCATCAAAATCGGTCCAGTCGTTTAAGAGAAGTTCAGTGACATACACACTCACAGAAGAATTATATATATAAAGATTAATTTATAGTCACGGAACATAGGCCCATAGATAGATACCTTAAAGTCTAACATATATACAGATTAGAATGTGTTTATGGAGGTGTTTGGCGAAAAATGTATGGCAGTAGGCTTTATGATGTCGCCTACCATCTATAATAATTGTCTGAGCACATTTGCATCTTAAGAAAATGATAATATAGTTGTGGATATTAATACCACAGTGTAATAAAAAAAATGATTTATTTCATCGATCTTTACAAAATAGATTTGTTTTTTTGTTATATAAACAACTTCGATCAGTCTTTGGCTGAATGTTACTACACCCATAGCCATTAAAAATGATTCGTATGTTTTCTAAACCGGTAAAATTAAAAGTCCTTTTTAAAGTAAATATATTATACAAAGGTGTCCGTTGAAATCTAATGACTGTAAATTAAATTATAAATTACGCCAAGAATTACCGTGTATGTCAATATTTTTTGTGCATTTAGACCAATTTGAGCAATCTCCTTTGACATTTGTTGCAACCGGAGCGTAATACCTCGTTTAGACTATGCCCATGCCGCTGCCCCTCGCGTTGCCGGCAATAATTCCCTAAATATTGCTGCGGCATGATTGAGAGAAGTATGTGTTTACATACTGCCCTACCTCTCACTTCGCTTCAGAGTTTCGGCAATGGCAGACGTCGAAGTAATTACCGCGGCCGCGCTGTGTCTTTTTGCAATCCATAATTATGTTTGACATTTATATAATTAATAATTTTAGTATGAATAAATTAATAAATATTAATTATTAATTAATATTTAATCAATTAATATTTTTTAATTTCACATCTTTCTCCGCCAAGCGCGTGGCGCGAACTAAGGGACTCGCAGAGTGTGAACACGCATTGCCACTCGCGCTGCCGGTCCTTTGACTTCCGCACAAAAAACCGCTCTTTTGGTGAGCGCCGGGCAGCGCGAGTGGCAATGGCAGTGGCATGACGAGTATCGTGTTTACACACTCGTCATGCCCACTTTCCTCCTTACTCGCGCTGCATGTAAACGAGGTATAAATAATAGGAACGCGGCCAAAATCTGTCGGAATTTCTCGGTTTTCCTTGTGACTTTGACAGCTGTCTCGATTTGTTGTTATGGGCCATCCGACCGACGACGCCTGCACCTCTGGCGGGATAAATTGGCAGTTTTCTTCTCCATAGCCGCTATCCTCAACGGTATTTGTTTATCGTACAGAGGAGTGCGAGGAAGACGGCGTTATCGTACGAGGGCTGCAACTAGCGGGCGGCGAGTGGGCGGGCGGCGGGGTGAGGGGCGCCTCCCCGCGCGCTGCGCCCCGCTGTGCCGCGCCCGCCCTGCTGCTGCGGTATATGACGCAGGTGAGTGACCATGACGCGGTGAGCTAGCGGGGTGTGGGGCGCCTCCCCGCGCGCCGCGCCGCGCTGCTCCGCTGCTGCTGCGGTATATGCCCTTTTTTATTACGCAGGCAAAACTTCTATTTACAGACTTTGGCGCCCTTAAGGGGCTCACCAACGAACGGACCTCACACCTAGCCTCTCGCAAGTCTCACGGGTGCGAAACGGAGAAGCCGTTAAGCAGACGGCGCGGCTTACGGCATACTATCCGCTAAAAAACCCTGCGACTACCCTCTACGCTGTTAAGTGCGGAACCGCGAGATCCCCGTTGAGGGACTTCACCGCGTGGCGGGGGTGAGCCCTGCTGCTGTGGTCAACGCGAGCGACAACAAGCCCCCGGCTTCTGCCGTCGACGATCCGATGACTGCAGAAGCACTGCTGTCAGCAAGAGCCCTACATCATGGCTGTTTTATTATTATACTAGCGGGTGCTCGCGACTTCGTCTGCTTCAATTTATACAATACAAAATAGTTTTTTTATACAAACTTTCACCCCCTTGAAGAATGATTTCTGGGATAAAACTAGGTACCAGATGTCCTTTTCTGGGACTCAACCTTTATCTATACCACATTTCATCTAAATTGGTTCAGCGGTTGAAGCGTGGAGGAAAACAGACAGACAGATATACCAATCGCGTTTATAATATTAGTATGGATACATACGAGTTTCTAGGCGCCTCCCCCGCAAACTGCGCACTCGTCGCAGAGTCCCAGTTATTTAAGTACTTTAATTAACTTTGCACAATAATTTATAACCTTAAAACGTTCGTTTTAGAACCAAACCGCGCCTCTGAACCCTGAGGGAACTGTGGAGATTCCAGTATACAGCAGCGAAACACGCGAACAAGAATTATTCGTTGTGCGCGCGCCCATCGCCAAGCCTTACGACAGGGATACCGCTTATATGCACGCCCTCGCTCTCATCATTGCACCATTACAATAGTATGAAATTAACGAGTTAAAGGCATCTATCATCATTAATAGCAAATAAAATTAATTTCATTTTGTGCTCCAATATTGGGTCTGTAACACCTATTTACAGCGGAGAGAGTCTGGTGTATAGTGCGATTCAAACTGTCGCCGAATGAAATTAACGAGTTAAAGGCATTTATCATCATTAATAGCAAATAAAATTAATTTCATTTTGTGCTCCAATATTGGGTCTGTAACACCTATTTACAGCGGAGAGAGTCTGGTGTATAGTGCGATTCAAACTGTCGCCGAATGTTTTTAGTGTCATAATATACACTACTAAAATGGACGATGACAGCATATTGAAAATCAACTTCATTCCCTTTTTAATAAAAGAAGCTTAAGCTTGGATTAGTTAATCCTTATTTTGTCTGTGCTGATTATTGCTATGCTGACATTTGAGTGATATGAACAAAACATAGCGTAACTAGTCTAAGCTTATTCCTCGTTTAATAATAAGGGGGCAAGAGTAAAAGCTTTATTCGTGTCCGTGATGCTAGCGTACCCACGATCAATATACGGTTTTTCGTTATGCCATTAAATACTGCGTAAATAGTGCCAAATTAGTGTAAAAATAATAAAAATAGTGCCTCTTTAATTTAAGAAATAAAGACCATTTTTACTGTGTACGCTACCATGACGTCAAGCTAGCGTACCCATGGCCGACCCCAAGAACGGCATATATTTAAGCAACGAAATTGACACATAAAAATAGTTCGGAAATAGTGCCCTGGCTTTACAAAATTTCATAATCAATACTCTTAAAGGACCAAAGATATTGAACTAAACATTCTTAGCTGGCGTCAACCTGGCGTATCCATTATAGTTCTCATAGAAAATGAACTTTTCTCGTTATCAATTCTATATGTATAAATAGTGTGTCAAATAGTGCCTCTAACAGTAAAAGTATTTTATGTGATTCCGCGTCACAACAATACATAAATAGGATGTTAAATTCTAGGAACAAATGTATTGTAGTACAGTTACACACAAAATTAATTATTGCACTAAGAGATTATGTATATATGTATTTTTACTAAAATAAATAGGTACTTTTTATAAAAAGATATTATATTTCAATTCCAATTCACCAATCATAAATTCATATAAGAATTTCAACCTACCTACTAAGTACCTTACTTACCTACTATACTACGAAAATATTATCACTTCTGTACATGACTGTACTTCATATATAAAAATAAATTAATTGCTTTTTTTATATTGTTTTACTGCGAATTAACATAATAGTACATTACGATACGCGTGACCTAAGTTGCCTCGCTCCGCTCGGGCGCTAACTTCACGCCGTGCAGTAATAGACAACTTAGGCCACAAGTATCGTATACTATTTTATAGCAAGTGTGACATAAACCCGCCCCGGACGCGGGCAAGAGGGGGTGGTTCGGGGGGGCCGGAGGCCCCCCCGAGGGATGCGATTAGTGTCTTGAAAGTAAAATTCATGTATTGCAATCACAAAGAATTGCAATACAGACTGCAAGTCAAACTCTGAAAAAAAAGAATTCCGGTTCAGATTACCATTTTGAAAGTATATTTCAAAAGGAAAAAATCAAATATCATTACCAAGGACGTATAAAAAAAGTCTAGTCCTTTTTTTATACGTCCATGATCATTACAACAAAATAGAATTTCAATGTATCCATGAACGTTTATTCCTTGATTGGCATAGTAAAGTTACGCGTATCGTAATGTACCAATTCTACATGAGTGAAGTTGGTCAATTCATTTACACACCGTGCAGAAATAGGCAACTTCACGTACGTCACGGAAAAGCGTGCGTAAAGTGCGGGTTTAGGTCACACTGTGCTATAAAATACTTTTACTGTTAGAGGCACTATTTGACACACTATTTATACATATAGAATTGATAACGAGAAAAGTTCATTTTCTATGAGAACTATTATGGGTACGCCAGATTGACGCCAGCTAAGAATGTTTAGTTCAATATCTTTGGTCCTTTAAGAGTATTGATTATGAAATTTTGTAAAGCCAGGGCACTATTTGCGAACTATTTTTGTGTGTCAATTTTGTTGCTTAAATATATGCCGTTCTTGGGGTCGGCCATGGGTACGCTAGCTTGACGTCATGGTAGCGTACACAGTAAAAATGGTCTTTATTTCTTAAATTAAAGAGGTACTTTTTTTTTTTTACACTAATTTGGCACTATTTACGCAGTATTTAATGGCATAACGAAAAACCGTATATTGATCGTGGGTACGCTAGCATCACGGACACCTTTATCCGTGTATTGTCAACGTTCACTTGCAAACTGTGTATCACACAAATCTAGTCATAGTAAGTTATTTTGTGTAACTTAATAAAATTTAGTATTTATGTTTGCAGTAACTCTCATAAATACATATTAATAAAGCGTGTGAAAGAGACATATTGATTTTTTTTTATTTCACGGATATTTTGACCACGTCCCATTCACCTTATTATTTATTAATGTAAGGATAAGTAGAACATCAGAGTTACTGTCCTTTGACAATTGTACTGACAGCCACAGGTTATGTATTGAAACTGTCAAAATATTTCATTCGATAGTGAATCTAATGCAAAGCACATAAAGCTCAAATTCAGTTAGTCTTTTTATAAAATAAATAGATTTTTGCGATTTATAAAATTGACATCCTATTCCTGTACATCCATAGGTAGTCCAGTCAATGAAGGTTTTCACCTCCGATTTCATTGAATCTCCATCGATTGTCATGAAAATTGGTGAGTAGGTGGGGGATACCTTAAGAAACAAAAGTGACATATTGCCAACTTGCGCTTTTGCCCTGGGTAAATAATTTTCAACCCTTCTCAGGGTTGAAAATTATTTTAATAAAAACAACTCCAGGAATCGATAGTGAGACAAAATTTTGTTATATAAAGGTTTTAGAATAAAACAATACTTTCTGAGTTATTAAGGATCAAAGGTTGGTAATTTTCGTGATAAAAATACATGTTTTAAAGCGGTTTTTCATAAATAACTCAAAAAAACAAAAAACTCATAGGTTTTTACAAATAAAATATTATTAGGTAGGTACCAAAATTGAAGCTAATAAAAAATCAAACCAACCCCTACTTTAAAAAACTTTCTAAAATGAATTCAAAGTGAGCTATAGGTAATTGTATGTACATTTTTTTCGACGAGTACTTAAATCTAAGTATTCAAACCTAAATAACGGGAAACCGATGCATTTTATTAATTTTTCCAAAATCTTTATATAACAAATTTTGCTTAAAATTTATTTTTCTATCGATTTCACTTTTTTTTTCAATTTTCATTTCATTTTCACCCCCGGGAAGAGGTGGCATCTACCCCCAGGGCAAAAGCGCAATTTGGCACTATGTCACTTGTTTCTTAAGGTATCCCCCACCTACTCCCCAATTTTTTATGAAAATTGATGGAGGTTCAACGAAATCGGAGGTTGTAGTTGATTTTTGCCTTCATTGACTGGACTAAGGTAGTAACAAATTAAATGAAACAGCTGTTTTAACACAATTATCTGTATTACAGAATTCTTTAAATCCGAAGGTAACTTTCTGATACCTTTTTCAGTAATCATTTTCGTATTGTTTTAGAGTACAATGAAATTTAATTACAACTTATTAATGTAAATCTTAATCGGGTTCCAAGCTTATACAAAAACTTTTATTCTAGCTTAAAAAACATGTTGAAATATTTTTATTGAGACAAACCCCTAACTAATTCAATTACAATATCTAGAAAAATCTATTATGACATTATAATTAATTAATCACTGAGGGCTGCTTTCACGAGAAGATATAAAGTATGATAACTAGAACATACATTACATAAAATTCTATCAAGTTTAAATCTAAAAAAACTTTACTAGAAAAAAATCGACGCAGACCAGGCAGCAGACGGGACTCGAATTTCCGCGTGAAATTTTTTCTAGTAAGTTTTTTTAAGATTTAAACATCTAGTAGTGAAATGCTTAAAGAAAATATAATCTATAAGTTACTATTAAAAGAACGTGGACAATAAATTAGTCGGATTAAATAAATAAAGTTTCGTGCATTAAACCGTTAAAACTAGTTTTATTTAGTCGGATTAACTTTAGTGATGTATAGCGCGATACTTTACTGTTTTGTAGTACATAATCAACTATTATAATTAACAGACTGATGTCTGCGACGTCTTTAAAGACGTAGTAAAACATTATGTCGAACACGAGTACCTAAGTTGCGCGTTCATAAGAATGAATGAATAAGCATTTGATTGTTTTTGTGTCTGCTATTCCTTTAAATAAAACCCGAATATTGTGAACATTTAAACGTTCTTTAGATAGTTTACATCTTCTTGTGATGGCGACTACACTACAGGAAGTACAAATTTGAGATCATTTAATTACTTAATTAGTAATACTATTTTAATACATTAGTAATTTCTAAACTTTTCAAAAATACTTCTGAAAACAAAAATATCGTTGTATGATAAGATCTGATGTCGGCATTTTACTTGGCTATTCGTATTTCATATTTGTAGACTTCACAACAGTCTGTCATTATCGACCTCCGTAGCCGAGTGGTTTGAACGCCGGGTTACATGGTGTCGCCGACTCGAGAGGTCCCGTGTTCGAATCCCGGTGGGGGCAGATGTTTGTGTGATGAATACGAGCATTTGTACTCCAGTCATGGATGTAACATGTATTTCTATATAAATATACTAATATATGTACAGTATATGTATTCTATCCGTTACCCTAGTATCCCATAACACAAGCCTTATAGTGCTTACTTTGGGGCTAGGCTAATTTGTGTGAGTGTTGGAAATATTTATTTATTTATTATCAGGTTTATAATGAAAAAAATGTTGAAATGAAATGTTGATAAAGGATGATAACGAAATGGACAAGCTAATGTCAAGTTTACAATAGCATACATGAAATGCCAAGTTATGTACCGGCATTACAGACAGTGAAGAAAAGTCTTGGT